TTTGCAGATTGTGTGGTCTGAATATCCATTCATCTTGAGGGCTTGGTGTACGTGCTCCAGCTCGCTGGCTAGGTGGTGCTGGTCGGAGATGCAATGGGGCCTTATGGTGTAGTGTTTTGATGAGGTAATTCTTCTGGGCTGGATGGTGGTGGGAGTCAGGCTTTAGATAGGCATCCGTGTGGGTGGCTTTCCTGTAGACAGCGTGTCCCAACGAGCCATCAGGTCTCTTCTCGATCATAACATCTAGGAATGGTAACTTGCCATCCTTTTCCACTTCCATGGTGAATTTGATGGCTGGATGTAGGGGATTGATGTGGTTGAAGAATTGGTTAGGTGCTGGCAGGCCATGTGGCCAGATGACGAACGTGTCATCTACGTATCTCTTCCACAAGGAAGGATGTAGGGTGGTTGTCTGAATGGCATCTGTCTCAAATTTCTCCATGAAAACATTCGCTACCACTGACGATAAGGGAGAAACCCATTGGGGTACCTTCATCTTGTTTGTAGAATGTACCATTCCAGGTGAAGTAAGTGTTGGTAAGGCAGTGCCTCACAAAAGTTGGCACATGAGAATTCAGTCCCTGTTGGACTTAGTCTTCAATGATTGCAATGGTGTCAGGCACAGGTATCTTGGTGAACAGAGAGACTACATCGAAACTGACAAGCAAATAATCTGGAGACAGTGAGATGTCTTTGATTAGAGAAACCAAGTGAGCTGATTTAAGTACAGCTGATGTGGTCTTGCCAGTGAATGGAAGCAGGGTCTCAGACAAATCGGGCCAGTTTGTAGGTGGGTGAGTTAATCGTGGAGATGATAGGATGGAGCGGGGTACCTTCTTTATGGATTTTTGGAAGGCCATAAAATCTGGGTGGTCTAGCAGCAGAAGGTTTTAGAGATAGAGCAGCTTTGTAGGTTCGATCAGAGAAGTCGAGTTAATGATGATATTGTTGGTTTTCGTAACCAGATGGTTGGTTGGATCTTTCCCATCCTTAATGTCCTGAATTTTGTTGTATTTAGTTTTGTCCATGATGACAGTGGCATTGCCCTTGTCGGCTGAGAGGATTACAATATCATCTCTTTTTTTAATTGAGCAAGTTCAAAACGCTCGTAATGGGTTTCTTAGCGTTTTTGAGGATAGCAGCGATTTCAGATATTGCTGCGTCAGCCGGGATGTATCCTAAACCTTCGAGGGCTACATCGACATGGGCAATGATATCATCCACTGGGATGTGTTTAGGGGTGACTGCGAAATGCAACCCTTTATCTAGTGTAGAGGTGTTACAGAGGGCTTAACAAACACACTGGGCGTGGTTATGCCCGTACGCCGAGAGGTGCTTACATCGACGTCCGCGCCGTTCAGCCTGGGGGGCTGACACGGAGCTGGGATCCCCCACGGCCCCACCCCTCAGTGGGGGAGTGGATATATAAGGCGGTGAGCCGGAGGGCTCGGGGTTCAGTGTTCAGCTTTAACCAGTGAAGAAAGAAGATCTGCTAGATAGGCCCTGGGACTCCCCTGGATCGCTGTCCTTCTCAGCAGCGACCAGGGCGAGCCAGTGGCGTGGCCCCGAGAGCCCAGTGCCGATGCTCTTGTCAGAGCCGGTCTGGGGACTCAGGGTGCCGTAATCCCAGCTTAACCAGGGCTGGGTTAGCTAGCCTCCCCTAGCTCGGTAGTGGAGGACCTAGGAGTAGGCTAGCTGTGACATTCAGTGTTGACCTCCCAGTTAGACAGGGTGAAGGGGCCGATACCCCTTCCAGTGTTGTACATCTCGGTCTGTTCTGTACTTAATAAATAAGTGTGCCTCCAACTACGCCGTCCAAGTCTCCAGTAACCTACTACACTAGTACCGATTTTAGGCTGTCGGAAATTGGGCTGTTACTCTAATAGCAATCTTGTTAACATCTAACTTATTAAAGTGGATCTGGCTTATTCTTAGACAGGAGGTTGAATTTAGCAATCAGGTTAACTTTACATTTGGTTGACATTGAAGTGGCAGAAGAAACTATCATGTTATCTACATGGTCCCAATCAGATGTGGAAATTTTTTCTGTCAATGCTAAGTGAGATTGTAAAAAGTTCTTGTCTAATTTATCAAGCTCAAATCGGAGCAGTGTTATTCTCTCTGAGATTAGGGCTAGGCTAGCCCTGAACAAGATCCGTTTAGCATTAGGAGAAGTGACACCAGCAGATGCGAGTGTAAAGGCGATCGGTATTACCTTGGTGTCGCGGCATCTCTTGAGAAAGGTGAGCGACTCGATCAGGTGAGCCTTCTTGTCTCGCAGTCTGTTAAGATCTAACAGTTGTATGGAAACCCTCCCCGTAGAGGCGGTTCAGTCTTGATTTGAAGCTTTCGTGAATCCATACTCTTTGGTTCTTTCGGTAAAGTCACGTAGATAGAAAACGTCGTGATCTATTCATTTTCTATCTACGTGACTTTACCGAAAGAACCAAAGAGTATGGATTCCTGCAGTCACAAAAGCTTCAAATCAAGATTAAAGTAGCTTTGCAGTGTAACTTTTCAAATTTGGCAAATTTGGACCATGACACTAGCACCCAATGGTCTATTCTTCTTTGAATGACGTCACAGATTCGTTTAAGGTTCACTTGGAAGCAGACGACACATATTTTAGAGTTAATACACCCACAGTATTAATCAGGGTGGCCTGCTGGTTTCAATTAAATCATTACAGTTTATTAATGAGTTGTAAGCATTGACATGCCTAGAGGACCTGTGTATTTTTAAAAATTAAACCTTATAAAAATTACTTATCTATCCAGGAGAGACACGCTGAGTCACAGGACTTTTTGTCAGGATGGTTCTGTATTGGGTTTTAATTTTAAGATGTTTTCAGACTACTGATTTTTCATATACAATTCGGAGGAAACCGGAGCACCCGGAGAAAACCCAGGCACGCGAGGGGGAAACGCTCTATCCTCGCACGGATGGAAACAGATGGCGCTTGCTGGTTACTGCCTTCTGGCAAGCCAGGGTATAGCACCTCCTCGCCTCCCACGGGGAGTTTCACAACACTTACAGTGAGGGAAAAAAGTATTTGATCCCCTGCTGATTTTGTATGTTTTCCCACTGACAAAGAAATGATCAGTCTGTAATTGTAATGGTAGGTTTATTTGAACAGTGAGAGACAGAATAACAACAACAAAATCCAGAAAAACGCATGTCAAAAATGTTATAAATTGATTTGCATTTTAATGAGGGAAATAAGTATTTGACCCCTCTGAAAAACATGACTTAGTACTTGGTGGCAAAACCCTTGTTGTCAATCACAGGTCAGACGTTTCTTGTAGTTGGCCACCAGGTTTGCACACATCTCAGGAGGGATTTTGTCCCACTCCTCTTTGCAGATCTTCTCCAAGTCATTAAGGTTTCGAGGCTGACGTTTGGCAACTCAAACCTTCAGCTCCCTCCACAGATTTTCTATGGGATTAAGATCTGGAGACTGGCTAGGCCACTCCAGGACCTTAATGTGCTTCTTCTTGAGCCACTCCTTTGTTGCCTTGGCCGTGTATTTTGGGTCATTGTCATGCTGGAATACCCATCCACGACCCATTTTCAATGCCCTGGCTGAGGGAAGGAGTTCTCACCCAAGATTTGACGGTACATGGTCCCGTCCATCGTCCCTTTGATGCAGTGAAGTTGTCCTGTCCCCTTAGCAGAAAAACACCCCCAAAGCATAATGTTTCCACCTCAATGTTTGGCGGTGGGGATGGTGTTCTTGGGGTCATAGGCAGCATTCCTCCTCCAAACACGGCGAGTTGAGTTGATGCCAAAGAGCTCCATTTTGGTCTCATTTGACCACAACACTTTCACCCAGTTGTCTTCTGAATCATTCAGATGTTCATTGGCAAACTTCAGTCGGGCATGTATATGTGCTTTCTTGAGCAGGGGGACCTTGCGGGCGCTGCAGGATTTCAGTCCTTCAAGGCGTAGTGTGTTACCAACTGTTTTCTTGGTGACTATGGTCCCAGCTGCCTTGAGATCATTGACAAGATCCTCCCGTGTAGTTCTGGGCTGATTCCTCACCGTTCTCATGATCATTGCAACTCCACGAGGTGAGATCTTGCATGGAGCCCCAGGCCGAGGGAGATTGACAGTTCTTTTGTGTTTCTTCCATTTGCGAATAATCGCACCAACCGTTGTCACCTTCTCACCAAGCTGCTTGGCGATGGTCTTGTAGCCCATTCCAACCTTGTGTAGGTCTACAATCTTGTCCCTGACATCCTTGGAGAGCTCTTCGGTCTTGGCCATGGTGGAGAGTTTGGAATCTGATTGATTGATTTCTTCTGTGAACAGGTGTCTTTTATACAGGTAAAAAGCTGAGATTAGGAGCACTCCCTTTAAGAGTGTGCTCCTGATCTCGACTCGTTACCTGTATAAAAGACACCTGGGAGCCAGAAATCTTTCTGACTGAGAGGGGGTCAAATACTTATTTGCCTCATTAAAATGCCAATCAATTTATAACATTTTTGACATGCGTTTTTCTGGATTTTGTTGTTGTTATTCTGTCTCTCACTGTTCAAATAAACCTACCATTGAAATTATAGACTGATCATTTCTTTGTCAGTGGGCAAACGTACAAAATCAGCCGGGGATCAAATACTTTTTTCCCTCACTGTATGCGGTGATCCACCAACCCTTGCCTCCACACTGCTGGATCACCGGCTGCATGCATAGCCACCACCGCCCGGCTACTGTAAGTGCATAGGGGTCAAATATGCAGCATGCACAAGTTGTGACAATTTAGCACCTAGCCTAAATTTAGTGTAAGGTGTGTATCTTGCAGCTATTTGAAAGCTATTGTTCAATGCACCATTCCAGCCATTAGTAAGATCACCGAGCACCAGTGGAGCCTTACGAACATTTGTAGCCTTGTTATATACCGCATAGTCAATGTACTTTACCACGGTGCCACCACGTCTGCAAACCGCTGGATTAGATGCGAATGCCACCAGGCTCCTGTTGTTGCTGTGCGCGTGCTGCAGGCTTTATCGTGTTTGCCACTGTGGTCGTCATCTCCTCCCTGGTGCTGGTGTTCGCCGTGGCCCCGCGTTACGGCCAGACCAACGTGCTGGTCTACATCTCCATCTGCTCGGTGATCGGCGCGCTCTCCGTCTCCTCCGTCAAGGGCCTGGGCATCGCCATCAAAGAGGCCATAGGCGGGCGGCCCATGTTCAAGGAGCCGCTGACGTGGATCCTGCTCATGAGCCTGGTGGCTTGCGTGGCGACGCAGATCAATTACCTCAACAAGGCGCTTGACATCTTCAACACATCCATCGTGACACCGATCTACTACGTGTTCTTCACCACGTCTGTCATGGTGTGCTCCGCCATCCTATTCAAAGGTGATGTGAACCCAGTGGAACATAACACGTTTACTATATATTTTGGTGGTCATGTGTTGAATCTGAGCAAGCACAAAAGTCCTCAAATCTAGTAACTGGGTGCTTTCTGCTTGCTCAAAAGTGCTTATTGTTACAAATTACATAGAGGGTATTAATATCCTACAGCAGACGGAGTGCCGTTGGTACATTTTCACAGTGGCTGTTGGATTTGAACAAATTGGCCCCACGGCATGCGCACAGACATCTGGGCTATCCACTTTATCCAAATGCAGGTTTTGCGGTTTGTAATTTATATACGCGTTTGTATTTTAGTAACTGTGTACTGCTCCATCCTGTCGCAGAGTGGTACCACATGTCAGCAGCAGACATCATCGGAACTATCAGCGGCTTCCTCACCATCATCCTGGGCATCTTCCTGCTGCACGCATTCAAGGACATCAACCTGACGCTCGGTTCGCTGCCGACGTTCATGCGCCGATTCGATCGGGCGCCCTCAATGACGAACGGCGGCACAAGCGATCGGCAGAGCCTGCTGAACGGCGACGCCGCGGAGCACCACGTCCCCTTGGCGCGCTCCTTCCCGTCGGGCCGGCGCAATGGCAGCGTGCTCGACATCTGAGCTTGAAGGCCGCCGGTGACTCACACAGAGGTGCCTCCATTTTGATGGCAATCCAAGGACGCGGGGGCGCATCCCTTGCAAGGCGACACCTCTCTCTCTCTCGCGGCCACATCGCAGAAACTCAACGCGCTTGTCAGCAGCGGAGTGAACTCGTGGCCACCGTCGCAGACCCATCTTGGTGGAAGAGGAGAAGCGTTGACTGCGCAATAAATGAACTGAGCGACGTTTGTGAATTCCTTCCGTTATTATTTTGGAGCAATATACATAACCCACGAAATGCTGGCATGAGACCAGCAGTGGAGGCATGCACGGTTGCACATTGGAAAAACTGCAACACATGGGTGGGTGGGATAGCTCAAGCGGTTGTGCGCTCCATGTCAAAGCAATGACTCGGCACTGCCTTTTAAAGCCAAACATCTAGTTGTACGCAATAGGACCTCATTTGCAGAAAGTTTGATGATCTCATTCCGGTCACCGATGGCTGCATGAAAGGACCCATATTAACATTTATTTTTGCGTGTGATTCAGTCAAATTCATCATTGTAGGCCTACTTGACAGACTGTTCTCTCGCCTGCACATCTTAAGAGAGCAGTGTCGCGGTTTATACAGCTGGACCATGAATGGAGAGCAGGCTAAGGTCTGTTATTGCACTGCTGGGTTCCACACTGTAACGGGCATCTCTTCGACCCTGTAGTGGAATATCAACATGGAATAATGCTTCGCATTTTACAGATTACTGCACCACAAATGGAATATACACACATATGTTGAAAAACGTAAACGTTGACATACTAAATTTTAGTCGCAGTTTTTCAAGGTAAAATTTGGTGTTGCATATTTTTAGTATCGGGCTTGCATTGCTTACATGAGCACACATTACATTTCCGTGCACATAAAGCAGTTTCTTGTACTGTAGGTTTATCTTGCTGTTGAAGTTGACACGTAACAATATCACATTGCAGCCTGTGTTGTTATTCAATTACATATTTTGTATTATTTACATTTGAGCCTTAAAGCCAGAGTGCTTTTGATGTATTCATCCAAGAGTTGCACGTGTAAAGTGTTCCATGCAATTGAAACAATGAAACGTATTGCCTGTATGTATTCATCGGGTCTCTCGGTCTCTGTTCTGCAACTGGGGACTTGGTGCACAGAGGTTGCTCGTAGAGCAGTTGGACTATTTTGATTGCGGTATAAAAATGTAATGATTTTACCATTGGTTGAAGTGTTTGCTGTATTATTATTTGCTTGGTAACGGTTGTAATTGGAAAAGTTTGTTTTTATTGGTTGAGATTGCCCACGTCATGGCTCAACAATACACACTGGTGAATGATTCAGTGTTTATTTTCTTTAGTACGAAGGTTGAGGACTAATTTTACATTTTGGACCAAATGGATTTGAGGTAATAGATTTTTTTAATTGTATGTTTGGAAAGTTGATTGTAAAATAAAAATTTACATCTTTTTGAGGGAATCTGTAATTTTAATAAATCATATCTGTAAACCAGTATTTGAACGTCTAAACGTTTGTCACCTTACAGTTAGTGATTTTGTGTATTGCAGTGCTAAACGGCAATAAGCTGCTCATTATGGTGGTTGATTTGCCTCCAGGGCTCGGTTAATGCTTGTAACAGTAGACGTGGACAGAACCAGCACTGCGGAGTATATGGCTTCAATCCGAGGTAGTTGTCAAACAGAACAAGCTCTCAAGTGTTAAGTTGGTAGCCATAGTCTTCAGCCTGTAGGTTTTGGCAGCCAGTGCTATAATTCACAATTGATATGGCCAACTAATCTGGCACAAGACCTTCCACCACCCAACAGCCAATGTAACTAAATTGTCACCGTGCAAGTGCCAATTATAATTGTTTCAGTTAACCGGTAAATTTAACAACAATTCCCACAACCACATGTAGCAAGAAATTAGACGTGGTGTATTTGTAGTGTGTCGAACGAGGCACACACAGGAATCTGGAGGCACCACACTTTATTATTACACTAGCTTTCCTACCCGGCTTCGCCCGGGACTTGGATTCTTGTCTTGGATTAATACACGGCCTACGCGGAGGGTGGAGGGGGGTAACGTCAGCAGGCACACTGCGTGACGCTGCCGCATGCGGGTGACATCACAGATGTGACGTCACCGCTCACTTGCCGTGCAAAATATACGCATTATTGCGCCCCCCCCCCCTCCCCAAAATACAAAGTCTATTTTTTTATTTTTTGCATTGTGTACAGTCTGGAAGCTACCCACATGCCAAATTTCAAGTTTGTTGCATGTCGGGAAGTATGCTAAACATCTGAACAGACACATTCACAAATTTCACTTATATATATAGATCTAGCCTAGGGATACCAAAACGTTAACACAACACTAGAATGCAACACTGGGGAAGGGGGAACTACTCTCAACCCCTTTAAGGGGGTATCCTATCCCTCTCAGCCCTTCCAGCCGATCTCCCGGGCTCCCCGCCGCACCGATCGCTCCCCACGCCAGACTGAGCCCTCCGCTCTGCCCCTGTTCCTCTTCCCTCCCCCGAGCCTCGCCCCGGGCTGCCCCCGGCCACGTCTCCTGCTCGGTCTATTGAGAGGAATGGGGGCCAGCGTCTCATGTCCCCGGGCCCTCACACCCGGGTCCCCTTAACTACCTTGAGCCGGCACGTCCAGGCAGGGCGCACTTCCCGCGACGTCTCCGTCAACTCCCTGCAGAGGTACGTACCCGCACTCATATAAATCGCGAGTGCTTTCCGCGTACACCCTCTCGGGACGCCACTCACGTCCCTACATATTGCTTGAAACTACACCAAGCTTAAGGAAAATCCAGAAAGTCAATAAAATCCATGATGTCAAAAGATCAATTTTGAATCAACCATAGGCGAGTCATTACTGGACACAACCGACAACTGTGAACCAGTTTCACCCTCGGCACTCATCGGTACAGCCCAGTCGCCAATGTGTGCCACTGCCATCAGACTCAGGAAGTGCCATGTGGCGAGGGCTTAACATTTGCACGGTTGGAACCCGCTCACATTGACGACCGTACTGTACTGATGAGTCATGAAGACAAAACCAGTCTACAGTTGTCTTTCGCTGCTTCCTTTTGGAACAGCCACATTTTTTCAACTGTGTCAGTTGGTGGTCTGATAAAACGGCAACACGTTCAGTTCTGTTGTGTTGGTAATCTGTTTACATGCAATACATATATTTGATTTTACGAGCCCTGCTTTAAACTTCGGTGACAATACCCCAACTGAAATGACAGGCCAACACAGAGGTACATGTTTTTGAGAATTATTTTATTAAATATATTGTAACTTTTACAGAGCAGTGATATTCAAGAATATTTACAATAAAAAAACAGGTTAGACGTACCACACATGGAACGCGATGCAATGCTTCGTGTAGACACAATGGTAAGTGTTTTGATTCCTTTTCTCTGTACGGTCAGCATAGGTGACCCTCTATATGAGCTCGCATCGAGTAGATGTTCGATATTCTAATTCCCATTGGCACTCGCTAACTCCTGTGTTAATTCCTTGTAAGTAATTTACAGGCCAATTGAATACAATAATAAAAAAAATCGTGACATCATCATGGCTATAGTGATTGATGTCACCATGAATACAATACATCCACTGTCTTTAATGTTTTAACTCTTGCAGTAAAAACTGCTGTATGCCATAAATCACAACCCCTTATCACTTAAGCTGGTGCTGAATGGACTCCAGAAGACTTTGAAACGAAGGGCGTTCTTCAGGTCTCTGAAATATAAAAACAAACATCCAATTTCATTTAGAAATGACAGATTTATTTGTAATTAAAATATTTAACCTGGAATCAGGGAGAGAGATGACACCCACGTGTCTCGGGCACAAGCAACGTTATCAAGAATAGATTACTTTCTGTTGTCAAACACCCTCCTCTCCTCAGTCACGAAAGTGAAAATGCTGGACTTCGAACTCTTTGATCATGCCCCAGTCCTTACACAACCGCTATTGGACCTGGATGAGCTGAGACGCTGGATGTGGGCCCTAGATGGAACCATGCTTTGGGATAAAGAAACGGTTGAAAAAATATCAGATGAAATAGGATCCTTCGTGTAAATTCACCTAAGTGCATCTCCTCCCACATTGCCATTGGTGGTGTGGGACCGCCCTGAAAGCCTACTTCAGAGAGGGTTCTTTATAGCAAGGGGCGCGTGGCTCAGGAAAGAAAGGGGACAGAGGATGCAGGGGATAGAGAATAGGCTCAGGCAGCTCCACTACGACTATGTATGTATGTTGGACTTCTTTTGCACAGTATGTAGCCATCCATTCCAATCGGAGGTGCGAGGGAAGGACAACAAACTAAACACAAAAAGCAGTTTTTAAGAAATCCCAAGGTAAGGGGATGGGTGAGATCTGTCAAGCAAGAAAGGAGCTAGATAAGATATCTCACGACCAGACCTTCCCGACTGTTTATATACACACCATCCAAACCAGGACTAACATCCTGAGCACTACAGCCTTACCATCAATGAAACTTTCAGGGAATACTATTGTACACTTATATACAGCCTACATCACAAACCATAGAATCATAACTATAGAAAGTAGGACTCCCCATCTCCCTCCCATACTGAAGCCAGAATTAGAAAGACTCATCACTCTTCAAGTACTCATGGAAGCTCTCAATGAGCTTGAACCTGGCAAAGCGCCAGGACCTGATGGCATAACTATGGAATTATACAAGAATATTGAGACCCCCATTGTGTCCCACCTACTAAACACCCTGAACGAGGCAGAACTGCATGGAAAGCTGCCGGACTCTGAGGGAAGCAAGAATTATGGTGGTCCACAAACCAGGAGCAGCTCAGGAGAATATAGTTGGTTACAGGCCAATCTCCCTGCTCAATGCAAATTATAAAATATATGCGAAGGTGCTTGCAAAAAGACTGGAGAAGGCTCTGTGAAGCATCATTGGGGAAACCCAGATGGGTTTTATCAGGGGTAAGGACTCCGCAGATAACATGAGGACCTTGGTCGATGCTGTTAGCGTCACAAAAATCAGAAAAAAATCCTACGCTATTACCCTTGACGGCGAAAAGGCATTCGACACGGTAGAATGGAGGTTCCTCTTCAGCACCATTGAAGAAATATGGATACCGACCCAATTTGTCAAGCAGTGCCAGCTGTTGTACTTGGCCCCCTGAGCAACGGTCCTCCACCAATAGAATTGTATCAGGAAAGTTCGCACTCTCACGCATGGTAAGTGGCAGGGCTGCCCCTTACCCCCCCCCCCCCCACCGGTTCACACGAACCACACAGCCCCTTGGCCGAAAAAACATAGATCAAAGAGCTATCCTACAGAGACCGATAAAAACATATACATTTCTATGCAGATGACATTCTACTAACCATCACCGATCCAGAAACCTCAATTCCCATCCTCTTGAAGGAAATGAATAAATATGGAGAGGTGGTGGGATATAAGCTAAATATAAACAAATCAGAAATAATTCCCAATTTCCCAGATTCCCAGGTCCTCCCAATAGCATTGTCCCCTTTCAAATGGTGTCATCAGAGAATGAAATATCTCGGAGTCATCATCCAGTCAGCTGAGTGACCTTATTTCTAGTGAACTTCCCCCCTCTACTCCAAGAGATCCAAACCTCCCTGGCAGCGAGGAATGATATCCCGTTGTCTCTTCATAACAGAGTGCACTTGACTAAACTGAAGACCCTTCTGAAGATATTATACCACCTGAGAATTATTGCAACTCAGATCCCCCAAATCTTTATTTTGAAATCACACTCCCACATCTCGTCTGGAATGACAGTCCCTCTAGAATAAGTTACCAAATCCTAACCCATAGAAGAAGTGAGAGAGGACTTGCGCCACCGGATTTTCGAAAATACTACCTTGCAGTTGGCTTGTATACCATGAAGGATGGTATGCAATCTTGGGAAAGGCCTCAGTATCGCCATGAAATCTGGAAGGTCTCGCTCACTCATACTGCCAGGATAAGCCCAAGGGCACAAAACACTGCTAGAGGATTAACACCATGCTGTGCAAAAACAGACTCACCCAGATCCCAAGAGTACTCCACTACAACTCCCCTTAATTCGGCACTTCAAGTTGGAAACCAGGGATCAGATGGCCTGATTCGAAAGCGGCCCAAATTCATAGAGTAGGAGACCTCCTGGCAGAAAGTGGCCACATTGACAAATTCTAATCCATTCGATCCAGGCACAACCTCCCAAACGTTCAGTTGTATGGTATCTCCAGATTCGGGACATAATCATCATAGCTAGACGAAAAGATCTGATTGCACCTCCACCTGCAATAATAAAATGGCTCCAGTTGGATAAAGAGAGATACAAACTATCTAAGGCATACCAGCTTCTACTCTCAGGGCGAAACGTGGACGATCTCAGACCCGAGCACTGTGCAAGCAAATAGTGAATCGACCAGTCCCCAACCAGACATAGACCCAGATTTGGAAATCCACTTCCCAAGGGACCAGATATATCCAATTCAAATTCCTACACAGGGCCTACATGACCAACCAGAAGAGGGCCAAATTTGGTACAGCCTTATCTCTGGACTGCCTGAGGTGACTCCGGGGAAGAATACAAGATTACGAACATGCTTTCTTGGCATGTCTGACTATTGCTGAATTATAGGAACATATAATGGGAGTTTTCAATAAAATAAACAATACATCTGTCAATATCAGTATCGAAACTACCCCGTGAGGCTGACCCGAGAACAGAACGTTTTAAAGACTTTCAATATAGCAGCTAGGACACCATATTTGATACGTCGAATAATCACGAATCCCCCTCCCTTACTCAACAGCTAAATTCATTAAGCCCAATCTCGGTCATGGAGCATCTGAGCTATAATCTCAGAAACAAGGAAGAAGAATACAACATGAGCATGGGGTTTATTTCCAAACGGTAGCGCAGTCTTCACCACCTCAACCCAGAACGGCAATGACCGGCCAACTCCCCCCCACCCCCTCTCCCCCAGAGAAAGCCTCTCTACCCCGCCTGCTCTGAGGAGCCGGGTGTGGTGGGACAGCGGCTTGACACCGCCATGCCACATGGAGCCACCGCCCGGAACGTCAGAATGTTGAATCTGTACCGTCAATTTATGATGTGAGGGAGAATGTTGAATACAAATATTGAACAAATATGTATCACCTGGAAAATTATTTTAGATGAAACATATCTGGTGTATAAGGGTGTCCAGGGTGCCTATGCTGTTCCCGTGTCTGTGTTTTATCATTCAATCTTACCTGATGATGGTTGCTTGTGTTGAAACTGAAACGTCGTATTCTATTATTATTTTATTTTCTACGTGACTTTACCGAAAGAACCAACGAGAAATTCCTGCAGTAACGAAAGCTTCGTATCTAGTTTAAAATATATATATAGTTTGTTAAATAGTTGCGCTAGCGTGATTACACATTGCCAGGAGGCCGCGTGGCTGATTGGATTTGTAATGAAATACTTTTTTGTGGAGGGACAGATATGTGAACAAGACATTGTCTACTTATTTATTATGTTACTTATATTCTCCACAACGAAGATAATTATTCTTTGGTGTTGCAGAGTCAATACAGCGGGAGGTTCAGAGTAATGCTTTTCGACCAGATAGAATCTCATTTTCGTGGAAACGCAAAGGTGGTGGTCATGGGCAAGGCCAATAGCCAGGACCGCACATCGCGGTGATGATACAACGTGGCGAGCGAGTGCGGCATTGCATACCTCGTGCCAGCAGCTGTGCATGATAAGGTGCACAGGCTGGGTTGCACGCTCGGGCCGGTAGAGACGGTACCCGGCCTGCACCTGCTCCACAACGTTACTGTTGCTCCACGGATCGTACGGAAGCATCCCCTCCGAGAACACCTCCCACATGAGTATCCCTGCGACAGTCGGGAGCACAGGACAGCAGTCGGTCGCCACCTTGTCACTCTGCTATTGCTACTACCATGGTCACTGCTCCCGTGAACTTCACACTGATTCCTCCACCCATGTTGAGAACTTGGTCAACCAGACTGACTGTTTGTTACATCCGTACTGTGTTCACTCACGACACTGTAGGTCACAAGTACACACCCACTCACCCACTCACCTACTTGCTCACCACATTGCCGGTTGCAACATTCTCTTCATGCTTCTTGCCTCGCACTGCTCCACTTTGGAATTCCCTCCCATTGTCTGATTTCCCAAGCCGTTCCGTATAATCTCGCTCCATTCAAGACACGTGTTGATTCTTACTTTGATAGTCCTCTTTGTTCCTGGCTGCTTGACATTTTGGGCCTGTGCTTAGCAACTGTGTAACAAAATAATACGTTACAACGTGCTTCACGAGGTCTGGATGCTTATAGGCACAACATATGTGCAATGTTGTAGCTACCAAAATGCAGTTCCGCTGACACTTGTGATTAAGCGCCAAAAGCCCCACCCCTAACCACTGGCAGCCAGTCCTTACCTCAAACCACTGATGTCTAATCTATCATCTAACACACGTTTGAGTTCCATTACACAAGTACTTGAAGTGGTCGGCATATCTTCCATGTCTTGCTTACAGTCACAAACCAAACGAGAGGTTATCAAAGCCCTTTCATATATTGTACTGCATTACAACATTCACAAAGGCCACTTATAAGCATACATATCTTGTATTATTTTACATTTAGCAAGGCCTGCTTATATTTATTGACATGGCTCAGCCATAGCACGTGGACCACTTGTTGCAGAGGTTTGCAGTTCGAATCCAGCAGGCCACCCTTGTAAATACTGCGGGTGTATGAATCATGAATACTACTCGCCATCAACTTCAGAGTGGACCTTAAAGATCTCATGATGTCATTCAAATAATAGGCTACAGTGTGCTCGCCTCATGATCCAAAGTTGACAAACAAACAAAAATATTCACCAATGTTTTAATTGGCAAACAAACAGGTACCGTCACCCCCTATGGCCGAAACCTAACAGGACCCTCCTTAAAAAGAGTGTTGAGAATCAGTGAAAACTTCCTGGGTGAACAAGCGTAATAATCATGTAGTGACTGGGAATGTCACTGTGTGGTGCCGGGCTTGCGAGGCCACGGCAGGATGTCTACTGTTGTGTATACACCCCGAACATGGGGTGTAGTACCAGCCCTAGTGAGGGCTTGGGTGAGCGCTGGTTAAGTGCGGTGGCACCACGCACAGCAGTGCATTGCGGGCTCCCGTTGAGAGAGCAAGAGAGTGTCAGCCAGCTGGGGTTACGTTGGGGGCATGACACTCTGGCTGACCTGGGGACAAGTGAACAGATGATACTGGAGGGGGGGCACCGGTGGAGGGGGCCAATGGGTGGTCACATGGTCCGAGAAGAACTCTCGAGAGGCTTCAGGCAAGAGCGAGAGAGATCGAGAAGGTGGGCGGGGCGAGAGGCGGAGCCAGCCCCAGCTTGGCCCAATATAAGGGGGGCCCCGGGAGGGGCTCGGGGTTCTTACTGTTGGAGAGGCAGGAGATCCACGTCAAGCTTGAAGAAGCCTCCAGCCACGCGGTCCGGGACACAGCTTGCGGTCCGGACCGGGATAGCGGAACCGTGTCTAGTTCCGCCGTAGCGTGGTTAGCTGGGTGGTCACCACCGGAAAGTATGTTGTGTCAATAGCCTGGAGTATCTTGTGCTAAGAGTTAAATAAAACGTGTAGCTCCCAAGACAACGTCTGCGACTCAGTTGGACTCACTATAACCATGAACAGTAGGGAATCCCATTCGTTGCTGAGGATGTCAGCTCCTTCACCGTCATCTATGTAGTTTCCAGTGGCGTCAAGTGGACCGTTTACCGAAGGCCCACACGTCCGACTTGCTGCTGAACTTGTTGTTGAGGAAGACCTCGGGAGGTGACCAGCGCACGGGGAACTTGGTGCCAGAGGAACTGGTGTACTGATCGTCCAGCACGTACCTGCCGCACAATCACAGCCCACGTTCACAAGTTTCAGAAGCTCAGAAGTGTACCCCACCCCCCCCCCCACGAGTAAAGCCCATTGAGCTAAGAAGCTCTCTTTCGAGGGCAACTCGACCGGCAGTCAACAGCAGTAGCAGCGGCGTTGTGCCACGCGCCCCGAGACACCGCTCACGCCACACCCCATCCCACTGCTGCGTGTCAACATCCCACTGTGCACCACACCCCATCCCACTGTGCACCACACCCCATCCCACTGTGCACCACACCCCCTCCCACTGTGCACCACACCCCCTCCCACTGTGCACCACACCCCATCCCACTGTGCACCACACCACTCCCTACTGCTACGTCACAAACATTTTTATTTTATTTTACCAGGTAAGACCCACTCCACTGAGCTATATAGCCCTTTCTCACAAGCGACCTGGCCACAAATGATAGCTCAGCAAAGTGGCTTATCATGAGGATATTTATAGTATGATGTGACTGCATTCAGATTGACGTCAGTGTGCTTTTTCTTTCAGGAAACATGATGTTATTTTACCATTTCGGCCGCGCCCGAGCAGAAGATCCAGAAATGGGAGAGTTCTGTCAAATTCCATGGTGAACTGGATGGACGGGTTTTGCGAGTTTATTAAAGATGTTTATTAATGACGAATATGAGTATATTTTACCCTTTCTAGCAATAAAACAGGAGGTGTTAAGATGTTCAAACACCAAATGAATACCTTTTACAATGCATCAAGTTTACATTAACCATCCACGTACTTGTGGAAAAACATGCAAACAAACACTGATTTTATGTATGCGTTGTTTTTTAATTGATTGGCCTACACCAGAGACATCCTTCTTTATGGCCGAGTGTCAGACCAGAGAACGCCAAAATGCGAACAGTACAAAGACAATGCAAGTATTAGAACACTTATAGCTAGGGTCGGGCAGTTATATATATGAGACCTTTTTGGCAGTATGATGAAAATAATAGGTTTTACCCTTTCTGGCAATAAAACAGGTGTTAAGATGTTCAAACAGCACATAAATTCATTTTGCAAGGCATAAAGTCTGCATTAACCACACATACTTGTGGCAAAATATGCAAACAAACACTTTCTGATAATGTACGCATTATCTTTGAAATGTATTGCTTCCGGTTTTTTGCACTGGATTACAGATGCACTGTAGAGGTGGGCAGCAGTTAGCTCCACGCACTGCGAACCCGGCAACCCGAGTTCGATTCCTTCACACCCCCAACATCAGTGACTATAATAATTATTTGAACCGGCCCTGGGCCTCTCCTAGGTCGACTTAGCCTCAAATAAGTATCTGGTGCAGTGTGTAAACATCAGAACTGGGGAGACAAAGGTGGCTGGGCATGGAACTGGCCATCCAACCCTGTGTATGCCTTGCCGCAATTCATACTGCTCGCTAACAGCACTTGTCCCAATCGTTGTTAAGGCTATACGGGGGGGTCTCTGTCTTTGCATTTTTTTGTTCCAATCGTCTATCACGCCTCACCTGCTCATGCCGAAGTCGGACACTTTCACCGTCCCCTGTGCGTTCACCAGGCAGTTCCGAGCGGCCTGGGACATACGGCAGCAGCACACGGAAGTCCACGAGCTTGGAGTTGATACACGAGAGCCCTTGAAGCTCGCTCGTGCGTGCCAGAGACACCGTGGACACGGTGGATACGATGCTCATCGAGGTGACTTTGCCACATACAGGGAGGGACTCCTCTACGTACGAACATTCGACTTACGAACTTTTAGAAATAGGAACAAACCTGTCCGTATGTCCAGTTACCTGTACGGACCGAGAGTCGTAAGTTCAACCGTCGCGTAATAGATGGCGGTGGTGGCATTTACATCTGCAGAACGTGAAGAACTAATGGCATCTATAGGAGATTGTACAACTTTTAAAGCCATTCCCAGTGTTTAGTGTACACGCCGTACACCATGTTTGGAATCAATAAAAGTAAAGTTGTACTTACGAACAAATCGATTTACGAACAGATCTCTCCAACCTAACTCGTTCGTAAGTAGAGGAAGTTCCTTACTGTATGTTACTTGTGGAGGTGTATTTTGACATATTATCACCCTAAATGTATGTTGACGTTCCAGTAAATCAATTTACTATTTCGATTTAAAGCTTTCGTGACTGCAGGGATTCATCTTCTTGGTTCTTTCGGTAAAGTCACGTAGAAGGGAAATAATAAAATTTCGACAGACCTGTTCTTCACCTGAGGACGGCTGCTTGCGTTGTGGCCGAAACGTCGTGAGAATTATTTTATAATGTTTTATTTTTATTATTTTATTATTTCCCTTCTAGGTGACTTTACCGAAAGAACCAAGAAGATCAATTTACTATGATTGTTTTTTAAAGGTAATTTATCTGAGCCAAATTTTTATACTGGAGAATGCAATTTTATTTAATATCGCTTATGTTTGTGTACTATTTTGTATTTATTCCGTAAGGCAGTTTTCCTTGCTCAAATGTCGATTTGGTTGTTTTCTATTTGGATCACTGTTGTACTTTTTTCCACGTTTTTGTCCTTTTGGTGACCCAGGTTCACTCTTGCAAAGTGCTCACCTGGTTAAGCAAAGTGCTCACCTGGTTAAGCAAAGTGCAGTCGACCATAGCGACGGCTGAGTGCAGGTCATTTTAAGATTTTATATTTTGGCTTAAGCACCAGCACCCAGTGTGCTGCTCTCACAAGCGATCATGTCACCGTGAATTAAATACATGTTTTTGGATAGATATCTCAAGTATTAATTTCAATATCAAATAAGGCTAGTTTACTTGAAACAGTACAAATTATCAACAACAACAAAAATGTCATGCTAGTTGGAGAAAATCCACATTCCTATGGCAGGGACAGGCTTTCCATCGGAAAATCACTCCAGAACTCCTCTCTTCCGCATTGATATGAGAGCACAATACCACAGATCCTATTATCCGTTGGGTTATCTGCGATGTTACTCCTCTTATGCGTGGGGTATTTGTGGATACTCCTGCGAATAATAGGATTAATTTTCCACACAACTCCTCTTATCTGCAACAACGACAAAAACGGTGTTGGAGAGTTGGCGGATGACTGGAGTCGTCCTGTAATAATCCCAATAAAAGTAACAATAGCTGCGAGAGCTATTGATGCCGTGGGGGGGAGGGGAAGGGGGGCAGAACCGACCAGGTCCCTGTGCAGGAAGCTCTCCCTCTCCAGGTAGGCCATGGCCTCGCACACATCCGCGCACATCTGCAGGAGCTGCGAGGCCGAGTTGGCGCCGCGCCGCTCCCGCACGAAGCTCTCCAGGTTGCCGGCCTCCATGTACTCGGTGACGAGCAGGAAGGGCCTCTTGCGGCAGCTCACCCCGTAGAAGTGCACGAGCTTGGGGTGCCACAGCCTCCTGGCGGCACAAAGACGAGGAGGGCCGCGTCGCGTATCACCGCGGCGGGGGGCCAACGATCGCTCGAGCCGAGCCGGCGTCGGGGTGTGGATAATCTCTCGAACTCAAGCGGCTATTAACCTTTACTGCAGCCTTGCAACACTTTGGTTCTATCGTTAAACAATTTTAAACGTTAATAAATACATACATTTGATTAAAAAAACAATGTAGTTGTAGTTACGTGCCCGTGTTTAATTTGCGTTTTCGATTATTTATCTTCTAAAAAAATCTGGCATGTCTCGCACCCCCAGAATGGGCATCTCGCACCCACAGCGGGTGCGTGCGTGCACCCCAGGTTAAGAACCACTGGTTAAGAGCATTTGGCTGCTCCCATAAATTCCCACATGATAAGCCACTTCGGTAAGCTATCATTTGTGGGCAGGTCGCTTCTGGCAAAGAGGTACATAGCTCAGTGGAGTGAGTCTTACCTGCTAAAATAAAAAATACACGGAGCTGAGTTTTCGTTCACGTGAGTTAATAAACACATTCCTGCGGAGGGAGCTGGTAGGAAAGTTGCGTTTCTCGGTCAATGGCCAGGGTCAACGGCGGCGTGGTGTATTCCGAAAATATGGCCGACTGTGAGGGCGGGCACAAGCCGGCGTGAGTAGGTTAAACGTTGAGTTTTATAAGGGCACCACGGGGTGATCAGCCCCTCCCCACCCAGCCCCACCCCTCCCACCCCCCACCCAGCCCCATCCTCCCCACCCAGCCCCTCCCCACCCTCCCCTCCCAGCCCCTCCCCACCCAGCCCTTTCCCCACCCTCCCCTCTCCACCCAGCCCCACCCCTCCCATTTTTGGATGCACGACGGACGGACGGACACAATAATCCCCTGTGGGCTGGTGGAACCAAGTGGTTCCTACCAGTTTCGTTGGTAGGCCGCACACTAAGGATGTCACTACTGCCACCTTGTGGCAATGTCGAGAAAATAAAAAATATCGCATACGAACGACCAGGATCTGTCCCGTTAATTCATATAATCACCCAGGAATGTCCTTAACGCTCGTGACGTCACTCTACATCGAACAGCCCCCGTCATTAATAATCATGAACAGGTGACGTCCTCCAAATAGATACCCCCCCCCCTCCATTAACGTCACTCCACATGCGGGGGCGAGGCGCCTCCTCCCCCCTCCTCGGCGTCAACTTACAACCCTCACTACAAAAGCAGAACCCTCACGTCATGCGATCTCCATAACACTATTGAAACATCAAAGTAAATAAAGACGTCATAATGAACAAGGGATTATAACCTTAAAATGAAATAGGTCTGTGTCACCGCGCCCTTACAAATTGCACATGCATTAATCCAATGAATATCACGTCACGGTCTGCTTTTCGCTTGCAAGTTTCAAATTTACTGCAATACACCCGTCCTTGGAAGGGCAAAAGGCTAGTTAATTCATATTTACATACCTGTCAACCCATACGGTTTACCCGTATTCTTGTACAGCGAAATTGAGTTTTCAGGTCCATACGGCATGAAGCCGTTTGAATACGGGAAAAATATTTTTTGTCTATTTGTTTTTGTTTCTCCGTTGTGATGGGATTTTGTAGGATTCACGTTAATATTCATAAGAGCATGGGGTCACCAATAACGTCTGAATTGATCTGTAATAAGGTAGGCACTGACAAGTTGCATTTACCAAAAAAACCTTACAGAATTACTGTCATTAAAAACAGTGGTTGGCTGCACGGTCATGTCGAGATTAATGCATTGGCTGTGAAAGGGTGAACATGGGACGAGTCCTGTCGCTCTCACATCATGGTCTTTGCCTCCTCAACGAAGTCGTCTTCGGACATGGTGGCCTCGTGCAGCATCTTGATGGCCACGTTGCCTCGTACGCGCTTCCACACGCCCAGACGCACCACGCCAAACTGCCCACTCCCCAGCTCCTGCAGGAGGCTCAGCTCACTCGGATCGATCTCCCATTGACCTGCCCACCAACAAACACAAAACCGGTCACAAGGTCCAACTCCCATTGTCCTGCCCCTATGGGGGAAGACGGAGTGGGTGCCATTTTGTGGGTAAGTCAGCAGTGGTCACCCGTTGGAGGGACTTGTTATAGGCAGCTGGGGTTTCCACCGCCGGCTCTGGGCTGTGGACAGGAGATGAGCTCCGCTCTGATGTCTGTGATTACACTGCACTTAATTCAATTAGCTTCATCGTTGTACTTGTTAATGTTCTTGCTTTTCTCATGTTGGTGACCCGGGTCACTCTTGCAAATGAGGCTCTGCACCGACAAACACAAACTGGTAACAGGGTTCCACTCCAATTGACCTGCCCTTTAACAACATCTCTTAATTTGCCTTCGTCTTTCTCGTGTTTCCTCCACTGACTCTGCTCCACTGAATTCGCACCTTCTCACCTTCGCATCAGTAAGTGGCACATCACCCTTAATTAAAGTTCACAAACAGGTATCCCTTGTTTCGGTTTAAAGCTTTCGTGACTGCAGGGATTCATCTTCTTGGTTCTTTCAGTAAAATCACGTAGAAGGGAAGTAATAAAATAATAAAAATAAAACATAATAAAATAAAATAATTCTCACGACGTTCCGGCTACAACGGCTGCTTGCGTTGTAGCCGAAACGTCGTGAGAATTATTTTATTTTATAATGTTTTATTTGTATTATTTTATTACTTCCCTTCTACGTGACTTTACCGAAAGAACCAAGAAGAGGTATCCCTTGATTCACGAACGTTCGGTTTACGAAATTTCGCGGGAACGCAATTACCAAACTATGGACAATTTTCGATTACCAAAACCCAAATTCCACGTGAACGATATTTCACTCGGTACACGCCAAGAGATCATCAAACAAGAAGCCACCCGGGAGGCTGCGTCGTCATCAATCCACAACAGCGTCACGGTGTCCCTGCAGTGCAACAGTAACGCCTCCACATCGCCTTGCCAGTCATTCCAACATGGATCAGATCTTTTGGCGAGTTCCCTGAAAATGTGACTTTTTAAATTAGTTATTATTCAATCGTTTTAATACTTGTGTTCTTTATTATAATTTTTATATGGTGAAGGTGGTGTAGGTGTATTATGTTTTAGGTGAGGAAAAGAGTTTGAATGACTGTTCGAAGCACGTCCATCATTTTTAGTATTAATTTTATGGGTAAAGCCATTGGGATTCACGAAATTTAGTTTTACGTGCGATTTTTTAAAAACGTATCCCTTTCGTAAATCTGGGGATACCCGTATAACCAATCATGACTGAGTGACTGATGTTAATATTATTAATATACTTTTTACCCAGGAAAGTCTTACTGTCTGAATCCTCTTTTAGGATTGATGTTGCTATGCATAATACAATTGTGTAAAGTGCAGGGTAATTTTTGTAACTCTAAGGATACCGTACTCAGGAATGTCTCCACGCTTTGCTGTCAGTCTAACCATGCTCCTTGATTTTTATCAGAATATTCAAATGGGGAGCCTCTAAACAGTGAATGTATTTAATTGGGTGTTTCAGACTACACAATCCGTAAAGCTATCACCCCAACCGTTGGGAAAGAACCATCTGAGGACCCCATCAAAACCATCACCTTGCTATACATAGCAGGGGTCACCAAAAAGATTTCCAAAATCATGAGCAAACACAAGATCCAGGTGCGATTCAACACACTACATAAAATTCGTAATGTGATCCCGTCTGTGAAGGATGTGATCCCTGACATGCAATACCCCGGTGTCTACAAACTGAGCTTTGTCTGCAGCGGCAGTTACATTGAGGAAACTAAGCGACATGTCTCGAACCGGTTTCGTGAACATGAGGCAGATCTGAAATACGGTAGGACCAATACCACAGACGTGGTTGATCATTGTTTTAACGCAGTGGGCACACGCGAAATTGATTTTGCCAATACGAAGGTACTCTGCAAACCCACTGGCTATCAGCAGAGATTCGTTCATGAAGCCATCCAGATATATAAACACAGACATAATTTCAACTGAGAAGATGGGTACAAACTGAGCAATCATTGGAAGGATGTTATTAACCAGTTTAGGTCATAACTGGCTGTGATGTTCCCTTCCTACCTGCCTATGTTATTTTCGACACTCTGAGTTACATTCACAAACACAGCCACCGTTGTTCACTTTCCTCGATGTGGTAGTGGCTCTTTCCGAGCTCTCTCCGATCTTACATTTACAAGCAAATTTCTTACATTTGTAGTGACTGCGAATGTCACTGTGTGGTGCCGGGCTTGCGAGGCCACGGCGGGATGTATACCGTTGTGTGTACACCACGGACACGGGGTGTAGTACCAGCCCTAGTGGGGGCTTGGGTAAGCACTGGTTAAGTGCGGTGGCACCACGCAGAGCGTGCATTGCGGGCTCCCGTTGAGAGAGCAAGAGAGTGTCAGCCAGCTGGGGTTACGTTGGGGGCATGATACTCTGCCTAACCTGGGGACAAGTGACCAGATGATACTGGAGGGGGGCCACCGGTGGAGGGGGCCAATGGGTGGTCACATGGTCCGAGAAGAACTCTCGAGAGCCTTCGGGCAAGGACGAGAGAGATCGAGAAGGTGAGCGGGGCGAGAGGCGGAGCCAGCCCCAGCTTGGCCCAATATAAGGGGGGCCCCGGGAGGGGCTCGGGGTTCTTCCTGTTGGAGAGGCAGGAGATCCACGTCAAGCTTAAAGAAGCCTCCAGCCACGCGGTCCAGGACCCAGCTTGTAATCCAGACCGGGATAGTGGAACCATGTCTAGTTCTGCCGTAGTGTGGTTACTTACCCGAGAGTGTGTTGTGTTAATAGCCTGGAGTATGTTGTGCTAAGAATTCAACAAAACGTGTTGCTCCCAAGACAACATCTGCGACTCAGTTTAACTCGCTACAACTGGTGTCGGAAGTGGCAAATAGCTAGCAGTAGAGAGTCATGTCTACACATTGCAGAGTTCATACACAGGCGTCAGACGACGAAGACAATGCAGAACTGATTCCGCCCACGGCCGCCGACGACGGAGCGGAGGTGTTGCCAGCGGAGCAGAGCGCCATCGGAGCGCGCGGCGCCTCACCATCGTTGGAGGTGCTCGTCAGAGATGCGCACGGTCGCCTTGCGGAGCTTCTTCAGATGGCGTCTCGATCCTCACCGAGCTGTGTCCTCTATCTGCTGCAGCGAAGGAGGGAGCGGCGGAGTCATCTGGACGGAGCAACTCGGCCGCCATTTCACAATGAGCGGGAACGTCGACGACGCAGCCCACGCTCGCGGCTGCGCCATTTTACCGCTGGTGTGGAGCGCGGAGCCCACTAGGCTCGAAGCGGAGCTGTCCTCACCGATGGACATCCCGTCGCTCCGCCGCCGACTGCCCTTCATTAAATAATTTGTTGCTTCCAGGGGCGATTGGGTAGCGTTTAAGTGGAGATTTCTCACCAATGCCGACTTGGCGGGGTGGACGGAGGTACTGAAAGCGCTGCCCGCCACCCTCGACAACGACGCCTTGGCGGCGTTCCTCGCCATCCCGCCGTCTGACAGATCCACCCTCATGCAGGCGTTTGACCAGATGGCGGCTGTTTTTGAACCTCTACTGAACACCCGGCAAAAGTTCGCCATAAGACGTAAAGGGGAGGGTGAGTCGGCTCTCGCCTACTGTAGCGTTCTTTTGGTGCTAGCGAAGGCCGCGTTCCCTAAAATGGACCATGACGGTCTTGACGCTTTGGTCCTCAAGAAGAAGCTGGGAGTCTCGAAAGACCTCCATACTGTGCTTCCCGCTGAGGACGATGCGGTGTCTTCACTCCGGGTCGCCAGGTGCATCCAGGCGCAGCAGAGTCGGAGGCCTGCACGGAGACCGAGCCTGCTCACTGAACCAGTGGGGTGGCATCCATCGGGGTGTTGACGATCGGCGGAGGGACGCCCGGCAACGGGCGAGGTCTTCATCATCCCAGTCCAGGAGTGGCCGGGTCGTCTGCTACAACTGCGGCTTGCCGGGGCACGTCCAGTCGGGCTGTCGGGTTCCTCGACGGCGGCCACCGGGGAGTCCACCTTCCTACGACTCCCTGCTTGATAAGGCGAGTCACGGCACACCCCACACTCGGCCCCGGGGTTCACTTCACCCATCGGGGGGTCCGGATTGGGTCAGGGTCGCGCGCGGGTTCAGGGAGAGTTGGGACATGTTCGTTGCGTGTGCCCGCTCAGACCGGATCAATGGTCGGAGCTGGCCATTCGAGTGGTCGCGGCAGCCGCGGGTTCATCAGCCGTGCTCGGGTTTATTGAGGGAGTGGAGTGATACCGGCGCATCTTTCACCATTATTTCTGAACTTGTCTATAACATTTTACCTCCCCGGTGTCACGTTTTGGAACCTGTGGATGCTCTGTGTTTTGCCGCCAATGGCGGATCATTGGAAATAATCGGACGGATTACGGCTGAATTGTGTATCGCCGATGTCAAATTGTCAGGCCACATTTTGATTTCTATGGCCCTAGTCGTCCCGTGTTTGCTCAAGACCGATTTTCTGGGCAAAATGCCCCTGAAGATTTGTATTGATCAGGGTTGTCTGGAATTGCCGTCGGGACGGCGTATTGCATTTCTTCCGTCGCCAACTCGTATGTCTTCCGCTAACATGAAGGTGCAGGCTATTGCGTGCCGAACAGTGCGGAATCCGCCTGGCGCACAAATGTTAATGACGCTCAAGTTGCGAAAACCACTCGATGTATTGTTCTGGGGCCCTCCAATAAACTTAATTGCTAGTAGCAGCCCAGGCATTGGTATCCTAGGACCAAGAACCTTTCATTCAGGTTCGTAATGCCGAGCCGGACACAACGGTCATCCAGGAGGGTACCGTGTTGGCACATGCTTCGTCAGCGCGTCCAGAGAGGGACGTTGTGGGAAGTGTCGGGGTCGGTGCTCAGGCTCGCAGGGTCCCGGGATGTGGACGAGGGATAGATTGATATAATTTGTTCTGTGTGCGGCGATTTATCTATGGGACAACGGGGGAA